GTTGGGGGCCCCGCCGACACCAGATCCTGTCCTGTTGGGGGTCCCGCCGACACCTGTCCCGCCGGGGGTCCTGCCAACTCTGTGTCCTGTTCCGTTGGGGGTCCAGTCGACACCAGCCCTTGCTCCATCCGGGGTCCCATTGACACCAGCCCTTGTCATGTTCAGGATCCCGTCTACGCCTGTCCCGTCGGCTCCGGTTCCTGTCCGGCCGATACTGGGTCTTGCCCGGCCTCCGGAGCTGTCCCGTCGGGGCCTTCCTGCCCGGCCTCCGGAGTTGTCCCGTCGGCGCCTTCCTGCCCGGCCTCCGGAGCTGTCCCGTCGGCGCCTTCCTGCCCGGCCTCCGGAGCTGTCCCGTCGGCGCCTTCCTGCCCGGCCTCCGGAGCTGTCCCGTCGGCGCCTTCCTGCCCGGCCTCCAGAGTTGTCCCGTCGGCGCCTTCCTGCCCGGCCTCCGGAGCTGTCCCGTCAGCGCCTTCCTGCCCGTCCTCCGGAGCTGTCCCGTAGACGCCTTCTTGTTCGCCCTCGAGCCCGGCCCCCTGAGTGCCGCGGTCTTCGCCCTCGAGCCCGGCCTCCTGAGTTCCCCAGCCGTGGTCTTCGCCCTCGAGCCCGGCCCCCTGACTCTCCCAACCACTGCCTTCGCTCTCATGCCTGGGTCCCCGAGTTCGCCCGCTGTGGCCTTCGCCCCTTTTTGGACTCTGCCTTGCTCCCGGGCCGTCCGCCCGGGACCCCTTCCGGGCCCGTCCTCCGGACCCCCTCCACCCACCCTGTTGGTCCTGGTTGTGCGTCCCTCCTCCAGACCCCCTCCACCCACCCTGTTGGTCCTGGTTGTGCGTCCCTCCTCCAGACCCCCTCCACCCACCCTGCTGGAATGTTTTGGACTTTTTGGGACTTTTTGGGACGTCTGGGATCCGTCCCTTGAGGGGGGGGGGTACTGTTACGATCTGTCTGTGTTGGGTTTTGTCTTGTCTTTTTCTGTCTTTGGTTTCCTGTTTTGTTTTGAAAAGTGTTCACCCCTGTCCTGCCTGATTGCCCGATTGTGTTCACCTGGTGCCCCTGTGTTTTCTCCTCCCTCCTCACCTGTGTCTTGTTTGTGTGATTGGTCTTGTGTGTATTTTAGTTCTGGTTTTTCTGTCTGTCATTGTTGGTTCATTGTTGGTATTTGACTGTGTGTCACAGGGTAGTGTTCTGTGTTCTACTTCGTACCTTGAAATAAAGGAATATTCTTGGAGATCTGCATTTGGGTCCTGCCTGCTACTCAACCCTGACAGTGATGGCCGGCCGGTCCCCAGTCTGACTTGATACCGCCCCCGTGATAGATAAATAAATTTAATTATTGTGAAGCCAGCTGCAATGGATCATTGATCCACCAGGGGGTGCAGTGGGGTTCCACACTGGAGTCATGTGTGGAGTCTTGTACAGTATGTCTGGTACTAATGTATAGCGGATCTTTGTTAAGATCCATATGTCACGGATAGGATCATAGTCTGTGCTAAATAAGACATGTAATCATTTACAAAACATCACCATGTTGTTATTTAACAAAATAATGTTGTTTAGTCGAAAAAAACGAACAGCAGCCGGCTCTCGATTTTTAATCCTAATTTAATCGTTTATGTTCGCCGAATTGTCACGACCTCGCTGTTTCATTCTAACATAACGCTCCAAATATGACTGTTTCCACTCGGACTTCAATACAGCAACACCATTGTTTGGTTTCCATGGTAGCGTGTCTCTTTAGTAGCGTGCACTCCTTTCCTGTAAATTACAGGTCCAGCCAGGCAAAACAGTAATATGAACGTTAGTTTTTAACTTAAATGATCAAATAAAGTCAAAATGTCAGTGTTTACAAACATTGACCATACCGTTCACCAGCCCCCACCCCACTATGTTGAGTATAGCCTACTCTTTGTTTAAAACGAATTGGCCATCGGAATGTGTGTGTCCCAACCCCCCCCCTGTGATATCTCTTCTCCAGCAGTCTGTAGTTTGTGTTCGCAGATCATCACCCTTAGCTATTTCAATTACCTCTCAAACAACCTAAACTAGTTATAAATGTTTATTTTAAATAAAGTATGTTTCTTCACATGTTAGGTCTATATTGAAGGTTCATTGAAAGTAAAGCTTACTTTGGTTCTTGTGCTCTAGTTCTTCAAGGAATCTTACTGAGAATGTTGTTTCCTCTGACTGCTTATGCCAAAAGCAACGACAAATTATCTGTTTTAAATACCTTTTTAGACCGTAAACTTTAGAATGAAATGTAATACCGGTTAGTTTTTTGTGTTCATACTGACAGAAGAAGAAATAAATTAAGTATGAATGAGAATAAGACTTATGTAATGTATTGACATTTGATCAGTATAAATGTATTACTAACTTTATCCACTGTGGTACCGAAGCTTGGATCACCGCCAAAGACATGGCCGAGGGCAGCTGGCAGCTTTCAATATTTTTCATGTGCGATTCTAACGCTTTCAGAAAGTGAAACATACAGCATCATTTGAGAAAAATAAATCAAAATAAGCGTTATAAATGAACCCTGACTACTTGTGTTTAGGACTCACTGTATTTTGGTACTCTCTAGGTCTGTGGGCCAAATCCGGCCCCCGACTTCATTTGATTTGGCCCGCAAGAGCTTCAAAACATATAATATGTTTATTATACGGTTTCATGCCACTTTACAGAAGCACAATGTCAATAAACTACATGTACCACAATGCATCTTGTGACATGCGCACTGAAGAGACTTGCAATTATTTGAAATTATTTGCCCTAAACTTCTGCTCTCAGACATAGTTAATTATGAAGTTATTACCTTATCCGATAATAATCCAATGCAGAGGCAATAATGTAATATAAAACATTATTTATATATATAGTCTTAAAGTTACAACCGGCCCTTTGAGTGCAACCTTAATGCTGATGTGGCCCGCGATGAAATTGAGTTTGACACCCCCTGCTCTAGGTAATGGAAATGTGAACATGGAGGTGTAAAGATGCGGTTGCAGGTCAACACAAGACAACACATTAACTATTTAAATGGTCATAAGACATACACTGAGCACTTCCTTGGCATCAAGGTAATCACTAGAGAGAATACATTTGTGGAATAATAATCTTTTCTAATACTGTGGACATGAAATAGAAATTGAGGAGCTACATTCCTGGAATATGTGTACTGAGCTGTACTGTACTGTACCCAATATACAAGCTGTTAATAAACTTTTCAATCAATCAATCAATCAGTCATGCTTTGTTGCGAACACAACAGTGGGGAGCCTTTGTTGCAGTCGCCTCAAAAGACAGAAAAGAGGGAGCCATGCGCCAGTCTTTGAAGCTGTCACTCTCTTCTGTCAAAGACCATTGCAAGACTATTTATGTTTGGATTCTCACTTGAGGAATCTTAACCTGAGCCACAATAAATTGTCTATAAATAGATTCCCAACATCTCAGTTGTATTAAAAATGAATAAGGCCATCTTCACGAAAAGTTCAAAAGCAGCCCCTTGCCACTCTTGCCAGAAGTGAATCACAGTGATCTGCTATTTTAAAGTAAATTCAACACATATCGACCCTAAATATAGCATATATTAAGAACGAGAAAGTGTTAACATCGTTTTTTGTAAACATATGACCAATGTGCGAGGGTGATGACATCAGAGCATCGTCCTATGGGCTTAGCCCCGGACAGGTACAACAGGTATTCACTCAGAGGGGGGTAGTTTCATTTACATGTCAAAAAGCAACATACAGTAGGCGGGTGGGGGATGGTGAACGTTTACATTTCTCTACAGAATACATTTAATTTAAGGGGAGCAGTTACTGAGAAGTATATAAGGAGAACTGCTACCAATGGTGGACTATTTAGTTTATTAAGAAATACATATTTGTAGCTTTTTTTTAATCTGCAGTAGGAAATGCAGAGAGTAGCGACAGGGCTGGTCCAACCTGATCTGTAAAGTGATCTAACTAAGTGCTATTCATTTTCTTGACGGGGAAGTGCAGTGTAAATGGGGGGCTTATATGCATTTGAAAAGCAATATAAATCACACAGTTCGTATACAATAGGCATTAAAAGCACCATCGATAACCATTGCCCTTCTCCTATTCAAACCAAAAGAGAAAATGCAGATATTACACTCTGAAAAGAAAGGGTAGAAATATCTGTACTCTTAGTGCCAAGTAGCTAAGCTATTCATTCGCAGAAATGTAAAGTGATCTATCTAAGTTCTATTCATATTCTTGACGGGAAGAGTTAGTATACAATAGAGTTAGAGTTAGTATACTTTAAAAGCCTTCTCCAAATCAAACCAAGATATCTTTTATTTTTATTTAAAATAAACATTTATAACTAGTTTAGGTTGTTTGAGAGGTACAGCTACCATTCTTTAATTAGATGTTTGATAAGTGCAGATCACATAGTAAAACACGTACACAGATACATTATTTTGTATTTTTATTAAATTCGACAATGTCAATTTCACTTTCCACTTTGTCCACCGTTGTTTTTCACAACCAATGGCAGAACTTTATTGAGGCCTGTAATTAGTCAACTACAGGTCTCTTGGGTCAGTCTTTTTCTTCCAAAAAGCTTGTGACAAGATGTTATTGCTCTTGGGGCATTAAAAACAAGATTTTAACTTTAGTTTTTTATATAATATCTGCATTTTCTATTGTGAAAAACTAAGTCTTAGTTATTTAATATATAGCGCCATCTCCAGGTTAAACCCTGAAATTGGAGAATAGTGGGAGGGCCTAACATTCCTGGATACTGGTCTTTGGCAGGTCTTAGGCAGGTAACTGGCTGGCAGTAGGCAGGAAGCTGTATGCTGGCGTCCAAAATAAGAGGCTCCATCTGTATGCATTATTTGATCCAACATTTCTACAGGCATGGCAGAATATGGCACTATTTTCACATGAATATTCTAGCCATAGTCTATTTTTATACCACGAGCTACAAAATGACGCCTTCCCCCACTGTACAGGCGGGTACTTGTTTAGATATACCTGGGCAGGCTCTGTTTTGCCGAGGTCCCCTGGCACCCGCGGGCCTCCGAGGGGTGGCGTTGTTTCGGGCGACGAAGACTGCTGCTCCGGGGGCGGCGAGTCGGGCGGTAGTAACCTAGTGTCCACGACGGAGGGTTACGTGATGTCCCCATCCAACCTTTTGCTATTGTCTGCAGTAGATGCAGTGTTGCTGGCATTTAGTGATGGTTGCTTTAACCATTTTCGTATATCTGTGATCATCTACAGATGTGTGTCCCTGCTGTGGAAGCACTTTGGAAATGATGCTCGCACAGCGGCGCAGGTCACGCGCACCTGACACAATTTGTTTTATATTGTATAATATTTTTCGATCCCTTCTCTTTTTTGAATAGAGGGTGCATAACATTCAACTGAGGGTGCAATGCATGCCTATGCACCCCCGTAGAACCGGGCCTGGCTCAGTACTTTAACTTCCTGTGTTTTTGGGATCAATAAAGTATTTTTTATTGATGTTTACATTTCTTAATATGATTTGAACAGAACTGCGTTGCCAGGCAACAGCACGGTCAGCTGCTGTCAATCACTCCTTATCTAGAATGGAACCTTCAGACTGATGACCTCATCTCTGGCTGGCTTTGGTCCCTGAGATGGAACCCTCAGAATGATGACCTCAGAAGCTTTGGTCTCAGAGTCTGTGAGAATCTACAGAGTCTACAGGTATCTCTGAGAGACAGGTCATCACAGCATGAGCAGCAGAAACAGGGTTTGTGGTCAGCGAACATTAGGATACTTGCACGTATAGTTTAGTCAGGTCATCTTCACAGGTGAACAACACTTAGTCAATTCACTGTAGACCTTAAAGTCCAATAAGTACATTTAGCCCCTGTTAGCTAAACAGCAGCTCATTCATAGAGATGGAGGACAACAGAGAGCAGCTGGCGGTCAGTTTTTCAGACGTTCCTTCAGATGTTCCTTCAGATGTTCCTTCAGACGTTCCTTCAGATGTTCCTTCAGATGTTCCTCTGAGGAAAAATCCGCCTCCAGTGAAACCAAAGGGCTGCAAAGTGCATGAGTTTAAGATCCAACTTCTGAGGAAACAGGTTCAGGACGGGAAGCTGGAGCTGGAGAGGAGTTTAAGAAGAAAGAAGGAGGAGAAGATGCAGGACCAGGCCTCCCAGATGGAGGAGGAAGACCTGAAGGAGGAGAAGGAGGAGAAGATGCAGGACCAGGCCTCTCAGACAGAGGAGGAAGACCTGAAGGAGGAGAAGATGCAGGAGCAGGCCTCCCAGACGGAGGGGGAAGACCTGAAGGAGGAGAAGGAGGAGAAGGAGGAGAAGATGCAGGAGCAGGCCTCCCAGACGGAGGAGGAAGACCTGAAGGAGGAGAAGAGAGTCTTAACCAATGAGACCAAAAGAGAGATGGATGCTTTGCTAGAGGAGAACCAGGATCTCACAGAACCTAAAGAACCTTGTGAGGGAGTAAAGAAAGGAGAGATAGATGCTTTGCTAGAGGAGAACCAGGATCTCACAGAACCTAAAGAACCTTGTGAGGAAGTAAAGGATGGAGAGATAGATGCTTTGCTAGAGGGGAACCAGGATCTCACAGAACCCAAAGAACCTTGTGAGGAAGCAAAGGATGGAGAGATAGATGATTTGCTAGAGGAGAACCAGGATCTCACAGAACCTAAAGAACCTTGTGAGGAAGTAAAGGGTGGAGGGATAGATTCTTTGCTAAAGGAGAACCAGGATCTCACAGAACCTAAAGAACCTTGTGAGGAAGTAAAGGATGGAGAGATAGATGCTTTGCTAGAGGGGAACCAGGATCTCACAGAACCTAAAGAACCTTGTGAGGAAGCAAAGGATGGAGAAATAGATGCTTTGCTAGAGGAGAACCAGGATCTCACAGAACCTAAAGAACCTTGTGAGGGAGTAAAGAAAGGAGAGATAGATGCTTTGCTAAAGGAGAACCAGGATCTCACAGAACCTAAAGAACCTTGTGAGGGAGTAAAGAAAGGAGAGATAGATGCTTTGCTAGAGGAGAACCAGGATCTTACAGAACCTAAAGAACCTTGTGAGGAAGTAAAGGGTGGAGGGATAGATTCTTTGCTAAAGGAGAACCAGGATCTCACAGAACCTAAAGAACCTTGTGAGGAAGTAAAGGATGGAGAGATAGATGCTTTGCTAGAGGGGAACCAGGATCTCACAGAACCCAAAGAACCTTGTGAGGAAGCAAAGGATGGAGAGATAGATGATTTGCTAGAGGAGAACCAGGATCTCACAGAACAGAAGGAACATTGTGAGGAAGTAAAGGTTTATATGGAGATTCAGCGGAACGTCTTGAGGGATGACTTGGAGAACCTGAACCTGAGATATGGAAATCTCCTCAAGACGCAGATGAAGGCCGAAGCAGAGATGGACATCTTGAGAAAGGTGAACCAGGATCTGAGAGAACTGTGTGCTAACGACAATAATGTGGACATCCTCACTTTGTTGAGGATCTACAGAAAGCTCCATGTGGAGAAAGGGGAGAAGGATCTGGAGATCGCCCGCCTGCGAGAGGAGAACCGGACGCTGAAGCTACGATGTGGGGTGCAGGTGGAGGTGGGGGAGGAGGAGGCTGTGCAGGTGGAGGAGCCGACGAGCACACCGCGGCGGTTGAATTGGTTCAACGCCTTCTTCAACCGCCGCCGTCGGAACATCCCCGAGTACATAGTCTACTTGGAGAACCAGGATATCACAGAACCTAAAGAACCTTGTGAGGAAGTAAAGAAAGGAGAGATAGATGCTTTGCTAGAGGAGAACCAGGAACTCACAGAACCTAAAGAATCCTGTGAGGAAGTAAAGGAAGGAGAGATAGATTCTTTGCTAAAGGAGAACCAGGATCTCACAGAACCTAAAGAACCTTGTGAGGGAGTAAAGAAAGGAGAGATAGATGCTTTGCTAGAGGAGAACCAGGATCTCACAGAACCTAAAGAACCTTGTGAGGGAGTAAAGAAAGGAGAGATAGATGCTTTGCTAGAGGAGAACCAGGATCTCACAGAACCTAAAGAACCTTGTGAGGGAGTAAAGAAAGGAGCGATAGATGCTTTGCTAGAGGAGAACCAGGATCTCACAGAACCTAAAGAACCTTGTGAGGAAGTAAAGGGTGGAGGGATAGATTCTTTGCTAAAGGAGAACCAGGATCTCACAGAACCTAAAGAACCTTGTGAGGAAGTAAAGGATGGAGAGATAGATGCTTTGCTAGAGGGGAACCAGGATCTCACAGAACCTAAAGAACCTTGTGAGGAAGCAAAGGTTTATATGGAGATTCCCGTCTTGAGGGATGACTTGGAGAACCTGAACCTGAGATATGGAAATCTCCTCAAGACGCAGATGAAGGCCGAAGCAGAGATGGACATCTTGAGAAAGGAGAACCAGGATCTGAGAGAACTGTTTGCTGACGAGAATAATGTGGACATCGTCACTTTGTTGAGGATCAACAGAAAGCTCCATGTGGAGAAAGAGGAGAAGGATCTGGAGATCGCCCGCCTGCGAGAGGAGAACCGGACGCTGAAGCTACGATGTGGGGTGCAGGTGGAGGTGGGGGAGGAGGAGGCTGTGCAGGTGGAGGAGCCGACGAGCACACCGCGGCGGTTGAATTGGTTCAACGCCTTCTTCAACCGCCGCCGTCGGGAACATCCCCGAGTACATAGTCTACTTGACTAAAAAGTGAAGAAGACTCAGCAGCTCTGACATCAGCTGATCACTGAGAACCAATATATTTAGACATCAAAACAAGTCAGAGTGAGCAACTTGTACTCAGTCTGGATATTTATTAGATCAGTTATTAGAACAGTTATTAGATCAGTTATTAGATCAGTTATTAGAACAATTATTAGAACAGTTATTAGATCAGTTATTAGATCAGTTATTAGAACAATTATTAGAATAGTTATTAGATCAGTTATTAGAACAGTTATTAGAACAATTATTAGATCAGTTATTAGATCAGTTATTAGATCAGTTATTAGAACAATTATTAGAACAGTTATTAGATCAGTTATTAGAATAGTTATTAGATCAGTTATTAGAATAGTTATTAAAGTCCAGGACCATTTGGGGCAGGGGGAAAGGTGGGAGGCAGGGTGGAGAGGTCAGGGGAGAGATGTCAGAGGGGGAGGGAATGTGTATTCATGTTTTTAAAGCTTTCCACTAATCAACTGTTTGCAATGAGAGTTCAAATGGTATTTATATTTATTTATTTCGCAAAAATAAAAATAATTATTGAATTTATTGGAAGTGTAATATATTTATTGTATATTTGTGTTCTTATGTATGATATTTTCTCCTTTATATACAAATATGTTGGTGATCTATTTTATGAAATAAGTGACAGAGCACTGGAGCTCTGTGATTGGATCATCTCGTTATTTTGACGGGACTTTTTCCTTTTAAAAATTGAATAATTAAAGACTTTTACTTTGAAGTTCTTGATGTTTGCTTTTTTCGTTCTATAATAGAGCCGAGTCTCTCACACACACACACACACACACACACACACACACACACCACACACACCCATACACACACACACACACACACACACACACACACACACACCCACACACACACACACACACACCACACACACACACACACACACACACACCACCACACACACACACCACACACACACACACACACCACACCCACACACACACACAAATCGTAACATCATAATAATAAACTTGTGTTATGATATTAGGGTCATGCAGAGTCAGGCAGCTGTCCCCTTTAAGAGAGAGAGACGAGAAGAGAAGAGCAGAGACGAGAGAGGACGAGAGCTTACGAGAGACGGAGAGACGATCGACGGAGAGAGGAGAGAGAGAGAGAGGAGAGAGAGCGAGAGACGAGGATGAGGAGAGAGAGAGAGATAGAGAGGAGAGCGAGAGGAGAGAGCGAAGAGGGGGGGGGGTGGGTTGGCTCGTTGCATGTGTGTGCGCATGTTAGAGCGAGCGGGAGAGTGAGCGAGCGGTGGTGTGTTGTTTTTTGAAGTGAACGAAGCAGCAGCAAAGGTCTGTCGTGTGTCTTCAAAGTTAGACCTGTAACAAAGACCTTAATAAATGCAACGGCCTCCCAAAGAAGAGCTCGCCTGTCTGCCTTATTGAAAAGTGGGTTATTGAACCCAAAGTTTCTTGCTTCGGCCCTGGAAGACTGCAGAGAGTCACCCCTGTTTCCTC